GATGCACGCAAGTCAATTTAATTGTTCGCGACGCGAGAGTATTTCCGGGCATTTAGTTTGATTTTATTTATCCCCATAATTCAAGTTTATTCTTGGCTACTCCTCAGATATATGTTGCAGCCGATAAGAATAAGATTTACAGCCCTGTCCTGCTTTGAAACAAACATTTACCGACGTGTATTTTTACGAGGTCGTGCCCACGCTAACAAAACAGTCACCGATCGGCAAACAAAATTTGTAAACAAACATCTTATTACTGTTCTCTCAGTTCGCCTTATAGTAAACCCAGAAATACCTACAAATAGCGCCTGACCGGTGACAAAAACACACAACGTATGAGTATAAAGATTATCCTTAATTGAGCATAAATTTCAATTGCTTATCAGCAAATGAAAAATCGGTCAGTGTAAAACGCAGACTGCGGACTGCAGACTGCAGACTGCGGACCAGGGGTAAAATGCAGACTGAGTGCAAAATGCAGACTGCAGACTGAGGGTAAAACGCAGGCTGGGGTAAAATGCAGACCGAGCATAAACTGTAGTTATGGAAAGGTTTAAGGGTCAAAAAATCCCGCAAATACATGTAAACGAACACTTACTTGACATCTGCTTTCACAAATCCATTCAGGACTTTCTTCTCTAGAACGTTGTCGACGACCGAAAAACATATAATCGCAATCTTGAACCTTTTTTCCGTCCGAGAGACCTCATGCTTCAACTTTTAAGACGCGAAGTTTTCAATATACGTGACCATGGACAGTGAATCGGTACAACACGACGATGTTTACCCTCAAATGGAAGCTGCTGACCCAAAATACTGTACAGGAAGAATTATGGCGATAAAAAAGGGAGTAAATCATTCCAACAACAAAGAAAGATGTTCTGCAGAAAATTTGGATGACCTTCTATGAAAGTATTGCAAATCAAGGTACACAGACTTAAGCTGTTCGGATGTTCATTGAAACTTCTGGCGAATGTGCAATGCACTTCCACTAGGAAGCGAAGTGTGTAACTGATACCGGCTGGCTATTTCACCGATTTGAAGAAGAAGGAGCACAAATGTTTCAAAAAGTCTACAGTCTTTATTCTGCATTTTGCACGCAGCCTGCGTTTTACTCACAGTCTGCAGTCTGCATTTTACACTCAGTCTGCATTTTACCCCTGGTCCGCAGTCTGCAGTCTGCAGTCCGCAGTCTGCGTCTTACACTGACCGAATGAAAAATTCATTTGCGTTGCATCGGGTCAGTGTTGCGAAAAACATATGTTATCGAGTAGCACACATAAAGAAACTAGATTATAAACAGAATATTCAGGCAATAATTTATTTTAAAAACATCAATTCTTAAACATATACGATCGTAAAGCAAAGATACAAGGAACATTTCAAGTGTACCAGATCGGTGAAGATCGCGCGGCCTGTTGCGGTATAACTACTGGTCGGATTCAAAAATCAAATCAAAGTTGAACGAACTCATGCCTTTAACCACTTTCCAAGTGTCGTGTATTCTTTTCGTATGCCACACACTACTCCTAGAACCATACCAGATCGATCGGCTAAGCTTCTCTATCTCCAGAGACTCTTGAGAACGTCCTGTTGCCGGACGGCCACGATGCTCTTCTGAACCTCCATGATCAAAACATTATTTTTTGCGTCTTCTTAAAACGTAACCAGTTAAACGACACAACCACACGTTAATCACCACTACCGAAGTATAACTAGACCAGCCAAAGCGACGGATGTCCGAATAAAACGAAGGATTTTCAATGATTGTACCGGTAATGGCGATTTCGAATTTAGTGTTGACCCGACAAATTTTCTCTGAAGGGACAACCGGCGCGCATGCGCATTATCGTGAACTAGTCCCTTTAAAAATAGAATACGCTCCCACGAAAAACCTGAAAACTTAGACAGCACGTGATCAAAACATGTTCGTTCGGCGCCAAAAAAGTTGTCAATTTCATGACAGAGACTACCCCGACAACGTTTCATTGGCTAAAACCGACAGGTTGAAATGTGAGTCTACGCGCAGAATTCGTCGCGCTTCACGGATGGTAGTCAGGTCCAATGATACATTTAATCCGAAATTTTTCAGAGCAGCAGTAAGAAGCAGTTTGGGTAAAATTTGGCGACGGTGTTTCGAGGAACGTATTGTTGAAGCATAGCGAACCCACTCTCTTATTAGTAAACTGCAAATGGAAATTAAATAACAGATAAAATCTTACCTGTTTTGTTTTCCCTATGCTCGAATCCGCTGTGGTGCGAAGTGAAATGGAAGTTGTTTTACGATGCGAAAACGATGTTCAATTGGACGCTTTGACCGTTGTTGATTTCACAATGCTTTATGTGGTTTGGCTCGCATTTCACTGTTGGTGTCACGCGCCGGTTGTTATTATGGTAGCATCGAAAGAAAACAAATTGCCTCCTTCATTTTCGGGTTTTAAATCTAAAAAATTTGTCCATGAATCCAGCTATGATGGGGTCTCAGGAACAGACAATGATAAACAGTCGATAAAAATCCTTAGCAAGTGTCTTTCATCTTTGGCTGCTCGAAGCGTTCTCCTGATTTAAAAACGGCGGTATACTTCTTGAAAACGCTTCTTGTAAACGCCGAGCTCTCATAATCGAGGATGAATTTAAAAAACACTTACTTTTGCTGATTGTTGTAAACCAAGTTATCTTTAACAGGCTGGTGATCATATAAAAAAATCCTTGCACATTTCCAAGTTCTTAGCTGAATGATTTTGAAAGCGTTGGTCTTGAAAAAGTTTGAATTTGACAAAGGTAGTAGTCTGTTTCAGCCAATCAGTTGAATGAACTAAAAACGCGCGCGCTGTCAAAATTTGTTGTCGTAGTTATGTTTTTCGTGTATATTATTAATAAGTAATCACATGATTTGAAAAAGTTTGAAAAATTTACTCGTGCTTATTTATTCCAAATTCCACTCGAAATCATGTGATTACCTATACTAATTGTGACGGGTACATGTACGATGCTCGGCGTCGGGATTTTGCATTATCAGTAAGTTTTGTGTTAAGAGTGTTTTGATGTCAGTGAGGTGACGACAAGAAAAAGGTAATGAGTCAATTGTACAGAAGCAAAAATTGTTTTGTGGAGGAAATAAAAGAAGTTGAATTGAGATCTCGTCGTGGGAAATTTATTTAGAACAGAACTTGCAATCCAGTTGGTTTAAATAAGGTTAGTCATTTTTCTCGACGTGGTCGTGCATCTAGCAGACTACCGATGAAGAAATTAAAATCTTTGTTAAAGAAAACACGGAAAGTGAGACTTTTTGTATGGAAGGTAATTCTGATCGAAAAATACACCATTGTCGTCTAAAATTCGTTGTCACGTTAAAAATAGAAATGATTTATACTTACACCGGTACAGAAGTAACTGTAAGAGTGTGCGGTTTTTACTAAGGGCAAGTCCAAAATTAGTTCGAAAACAAGGGAAGGTTTATTTGTCGTCTAAACATAAAAGAAGAGGCTATTTAGGTTGGGTGAGGTATCAAAATATGGTTTTAAGTAGTATTTGTCCCTCTGTACATGCAACTATCCATTTTATAGTGCTTACAAGAGTTCGATTCACCGGGTTAATTGTGGCCAATTTAAGCTTTCTACTAATATCGAGAAGAATCCAGGACCTTCAGTTTATGTAGATGCTGCAAAAACGATTCATGCTCCATAATGTCAAGGAAACGTTGTAGTATTTGGGGAAAATGCGGGACAACAATGTGTTGCAATGAGTTTGTGCGCTTTAATTTACAGTAAGATAAGAAGGATTACTTATGATATGATTCAAATAATGACTGTTGGTAACCAATTATATTCTAGTCTGTCATTTCTTGCAAGACAATGTATGTTTATGTTAACAGAATTGCCAGAAATGCGTACAGTGTTTGAGCAATTTTTCTAGCTTGAAGACAGTGAAGGTTATACTTGTAACATGCATGGTGATGTCAGAATTTAGGGGTATCACTACTGTGTGCCACTTGAAAAACTCTTGGCTCTGAACTACAACTCATTCATTTTAACTGTGGGAATTATTGGTGTTGATTCTCATGCTAGAGATATGTATGGTAACAGTCATAGTCAAGGTACATGTGTATTGTTGGAAATACTATCCATGGTTAAATTAGTATAATATTTTCAGAGTCTATGTACACGTACGGATGAGGATATATATGAGGTTAAAGGTGTACATATTGCCAACTTTGAACGTGATCTTTATTCAAGCAGTGTTGAATACTGTTAGTAGTATATCAAATGTCCAGAGTTTATACCAATGTTCTTGTAAACAGTGCTGTACTATAGCAGTTTATGCAATGTGTTATACAGTCAACTCCCTTTATAGCGGACACTGTAGGGACCTCGAGGTGGTGTCCTCATTAGCGAGAGTCCGTAATAGCGAGAGTTTATTTCAGTCAAGCGTCTGTAAATTGTTTTTGCCGGGGATTTAGCTGCTGTCCGTATTATCGGGGTGTCCGTTATAGCGGGGTGTCCGCAAGGCGAGAGTTGACTGTATTCTGTTATTAATCCATGTGGATTGTCGCTCCCGACTCCCCTTAGGAGTAATTTGTTTGTTTATCGTCACGTAACTCAAAAACATTTTTGCCTTGGTCGAGTTTGTTATCGTGAGCGAGGATAGTATTTGAGTATATTCTACCTGTATTAGAATTTTGAAGCCGAACAGTTCGGTAAGTTAGCCTTTCTTTCTACATTTGAGAATTGTTATGGTAACTTCGAGTGATATTTACCTCTGTAATTAGCCAGAAAACCACATACAAGTTTCTACAAACTGACCACGAGGTCTGCGCCCAACGTCTTCGTTTGCGGTCGTTTGAGTACGATTGTTATCTACAAGTTGATAGAAGATTTACATTGTGCAAGTAGTGCGTTTTTGACGTTCAAAATAAAGTTGGCTGACATTCTTCGAGTCCGTCGTGATTCGAACTAACATTTTTCGAACTTGAGCTTCGTTTGGTCGATTCTGTGTGAAACATGTCTACTCGCTCACGTCCTGCCGCCCGAAAAGGAACTCGAGTACGAACGTATTCGACAAGGAGAAATGAAGAAGAGGATCGAGCTGAGAGGGCAGGGCAATTGAAGAGGACCAAAGCTGGATTAATCGGGATGCTAAGGAAAACGCGTGAGGAAATTGCTAATTTGCGAATCGAAAGAGGAGATATATGGTCAGAGGATTTGGAAGTGAAGTTGGCGGTGTACGAAGAAACATGGAGGAAGTTTGTGAAAACCCATGAATGTTTTATGGAATTAACAGAGCCAGGATTTAAAAGGAACGGTGCCCAAACCATGTACGACGAAGAGTTTGCAAAGAAAATGGAACTGGACGAGATTGTGAAACGAATGCGCGTCGCCTGTGGATCAAAGTCCATTGAAGGAAGCATGAGGTCACGTGAAAGAAAGGGCGCGAAAACCGTGAGTACTGAAATCAGCTGTAACTCGGTTTATAGTGCGTTTGATGCTCGAAGGGAAAAAGTGATTTTGACAAAACTTATAGTAGAACATTTGAAGAAAAGGCAAGAGCTTTAACTCAGATTAACTGAACTTAATCACGCACGGCAATTAATAGAGGCCGAAATGGAAGCTGAGAAGGCCTATGTCAGTTTTAGTATTCTTAATTCTGAAAGTGGGGCCGGTGCAATTGACCATGCGACACCTCGTTTAATAAAGAAAACAGTTTGATTTGGAGGCCTTAGGGGATATCGATTGCAAGAAAGATGTCTTGTATCATTCAGATATTAAGCCTAAACTTGACGAATTTCCACGTGGTCTTACCTCTCCATTACCAGTTGCCCCAGGCCGTGAATCAAAGTTACCAATTGTTGGGGGAAATGAGCAACCAGGATCGTCTCCACAGGGAGATGCTGCATTAAACCCACTAGCAAGCTCACCTAACAGAGGTTGTTGGGGGACGAAACACGAATACGAACAGTCGCCCTCAATCCAGGAAGTTCAGGCCCCAGTAAAGCAATCACCAGCAGGGTTTGATGCCAGGGAACACATAGTTAAAACTTTGAGCCAAGTCATGAATACCCGAAAGTTAGAATACATGCACTTTATTGGAGATCCGATTAACTATGCATCGTTCATACACAACTTCGAGACCTGTCTGGAAGACAGCACGAACAATTCTAGAAATCTGCAACTCCTAATTCAACATTGCACGAGTGTAGCACGAGAGGCAATCGAAAGTTGTGTTAACTTGCCAGTGTAAGAGGGTTACAAAACTGCAAAGGAAACCTTGAAGGAGAACTTTGGTCTACCTCACATAATTGCTAAAGCTCATCAGAAGAAGTTGGAGAACCTACCACCATTAAACAATTGTGCGGGGTCAACATTATTGGAGTTTGCAAGACACCTTGAAATAGCAGATAGAACCCTTAGGGGTATGGGTCCGGATTATGTCGGCGACTTAAACCACTCAAACACCTTAATGGAGTTGAGCAGAAAACTTCCCTTTTATTGAGAGGAAAGTGGGCAGAGTGCGCTGGCAAAGTTATTGAAGCTGGTGGAAGACCAAAGTTCTCTGATTTGTTAGTTTGTGAAGCATAGAGTAAAGCTTGTAAACAATGAATTTGGGGATCTGATGGCGAGTCCGGAAAGCAAAGAGAAAAGGGGAAGAACTCTAACAAAGATGACCACCTTAGCGACCAATGTCGACCCTGATCACAGCGAAGAACAAAGCAGTGCAAGAAGAGAAATTGGTACAAACAGGAGCTGTCCAGTATGTTCATGGGCTGTGGAGGTGTGAGAAGTTTAGAGACCTTTCGAGCCGGGACAGAGTAAAAACAGTACTGAACAAGAAACTGTGTTTCAAGTGCCTTGGTGGTGGGCATTTCAAAGACCGTTGTCCTAGGGAAACATTTAAGTGTCAAGTACAAGGTTATGTCGAGGATCATAACACTCTGTTACACCCCACCCCTCCCACTTTGGAAGAGAACCCTCAGCAGACCAATGCAGCTATGGGTTATACAAGTGCAACACACAGAACTAATCAAGATGGTCAGACTGGTGGCAGAGCTTTTGTTACTGTGGCAACTAGGGGCCGGTGAAAGGCGTGTCTGCTAAGGGGTCGTTCCTGTTAAAGTCAGGGCAAAGGGAGGAGGAAGATTTGTGGAGACTTACGCCCTATTGGACAGTGGTAGTGAGGTAACCTTATGCAAGGAGCAACTTTCTCTTGAGCTTGGATCGTGGGGATTAAACCGTGATTATGAGTTGCAAGGGGTGACGGGGACAGGAAAGTTGAAGGGCATGTGATAGACATTGTTGTGATGTCCATGGATAACAAAGTCTCAGAAGAGCTGACGAATGTTAGGACTGTTGAGCAGATACCCGTGTCCTCCACTTGCATTCCACGAAAGGACGACATTTCAAATTGGCCTCATTTGAGAGACGTCGAGTTGTTGGAGCCCAGTGTGTCAGATGTTGTTCTAATAATTGGTCTTAAAGAGAAGCCTACACTGTTTATCCCATTAGAGCGCAGATCAGGTGGAGATAGCGAGCCGGTAGCAGTGCGATATTCCCTGGGTTGGACAGTTATGGATCCTCTGAGCGGGACACGAGTTGATGAGCGTTGTTCCGTCAACTTCGTTCGCCTTGGAAACAAAGAGTTTTACGTTGATGCGGAGCAGTTGCACAAAGACGGGAGTGCCGAACCGCGTAACATCAAAGGTGTGATCGAAAGGTCAAGTGTTAGTGGTGCAGTAGACGGTACATTACTTTGTGATGAAGAAGACACCAAGCGTCAAATCCGTGACGAAATTTTGCAGGAGCAACTTGAGAGACTTTGGAGCACTGACTTTGCAGATTCTGTTGTGAGTTCGAGTGTGAGTCCTTCGATACAGGATAAGAGAGCATTAGAAATGATAGAACAGTCACTGAAAGTAGTGAATGGACACTTTCAAGTAGGGCTTCCATGGCGAACAAACCCCCCTTATCTGCCAAATAACAGGCTTATGGTTGAGCGGGAGCTGGACTTCTAAAGAAGCGTCTACTCAGAAACGAAGATTTGTTCGCCAAGTACAACGCAACCATGAACGAGTATATTGAAGAAGGCCACGCGGAGAGAGTGCCCACCGATGAGTTGCAACCAGGGCACCGGCCAGTATGGTACGTGCCACACCATCCAGTGACGCACCCCTTAAAACCCGAAAAGGTTTGCGTTGTGTTCGATTGTGCTGCCCAGTTCGCGCACACGTCTTTGAACCGCCAACTGTTGCAGGGTCCAGATTTAACTAATAATATTGTGGGAGTGCTGACTCGTTTTCGTCAGGAGTTTGTGGGTCTTGTAGCCGACATACAATCTATGTTCCATCAGGTTAGAGTGGAACCCAGGGATTGTGATGCGTTGAGGTTTTTGTGGTGGCCTGGAGGGGATTTGTCAACCGAGCTAACAGAGTACCGAATGGTCAAACATTTGTTTGGGGCCACATCTTCACCGAGCGTCGTGAACCTTTGTCTAAAGAAAACAGCTGAGATAGATGGAGGTTGGAATTCAGAAGTTGCAAATGTTATCAAAAGGAACATGTACGTTGATGACCTGATGAAGTCAACTGAAACAACAGTGGATGCGATCTTGCTTGTACACAAGGTGAAAGAACAGCTTAGTAAAGGCGGTTTCCATTTGCCCAAGTGGTGCTGTAATGATAGGCGAGGTCTAGCTGTTGTTCCAGAGCCAGAGAGAGCCAGGTCTGTTATCAACTTGGAGCTGCTGATGTGGTGAACTTGTATTTTTGCCAACAGTGATTTCACATGGTTCCTTTTTTTCACACACTTTTCACACCCTTTTCACATGATTTTCACACACATAGCCCTAGTAGTGACTGACAATGGTGAAAACAGTGACAACGGTGACCACGGTGACAACAGCGACAACAGTGACAAAGAGTGGGAACGGTGACAAGACTGACAACAGTGACAACAATTAACACGGTGACAACAGTTACAAAGGTGACAACGGTGACAGCAGTGACAAGAGTGACAATGGTGACAACGGTGTCAACACTGACGATGGTTAAAACGGTGACAACAGTGACAACACTGACAACCGTGACAACGGTTACAAAAGTGACAACAGTGACAATGGTGACAACGGTGACAACTATGACAACGGTGACAACGGTTACAACAGTTACAACGGTGACAGTAGTGACAACGGTGACAGAAGTGAAAACGGTGACGACTGTGACAAGAGTGACAACACTAACAATGAAGACAACGGTGACAACAGTGACAACGGTGACAACAGTCACAACAGTGACAATGGTGACAAAAGGGACAACAGTGACAACAGTAACAATGGCGACAACAGTGAAAAAGGTGAAAATGGTGACAACAGTGACAACAGTGACAACGGTCACAACGGTCACAACAGTGACAACGGTGACAAAAGGGACAACAGTGACAACAGCAACAATGGCGACAACAGTGACAACGGCTACAATGGTGACAACCCTGACAACGGTGACAACAGTGACAACAGTGGCAACGGTAACAAAGGCGACAACAGTGAAAAACAATGACACCGGTGACAACAATCACAACAGTGACACCGGTTAAAACGGTGACAACGGTGACAACAGTTACAACGGTGAAAACAGTGACAACAGTGACAATGGTGACGACGGTGAAACTAGTGAACACACTGACAACGGTAACAACAGTGACAACAGGGAATAGGGTGACAACGGTGAAAACAATGACTATAGTGACAACACTCACAACAGTGACAATGGTGACAACAGTGACAACACTGGCAATAGTGACAAAGGTGACAACAGTAACAATGGTGACAACAGTGACAACAGTGACAACAGTGAAAACGGTGACAACGGTTACATCGGTGACAACAGTAACAACAGTGACAACAACGACAAAAGTGTCAACAGTGACAACTGTGACAACGGTGACAACAATGACAATGATGACAACGGTGACAACAGTGACACCGGTTAAAACGGTGACAACGGTGACAACAGTTACAACGGTGAAAACAGTGACAATGGTGACGACGGTGAAACTAGTGAACACACTGACAACGGTAACAACAGTGACAACAGGGAATAGGGTGACAACGGTGAAAACAATGACTATAGTGACAACACTCACAACAGTGACAATGGTGACAACAGTGACAACACTGGCAATAGTGACAAAGGTGACAACAGTAACAATGGTGACAACAGTGACAACAGTGACAACAGTGAAAACGGTGACAACGGTTACATCGGTGACAACAGTAACAACAGTGACAACAACGACAAAAGTGTCAACAGTGACAACTGTGACAACGGTGACAACAATGACAATGATGACAACGGTGACAACAGTGACAACAGCGAGTAAAGTGACTACAGTGACAAGGATGACAACGGTTACAACATTGACAACAGTGACAACAGTGACAATAGTGACAACAGTGACAACTGTGACAACACTGACAACGGTGACAACGGTGACAACCGTGACTACACAGACAACGGTGACAATAGTGACAACGGTGACAACGGTGACAACCGTGAGCATCGTGATCTCGGTAAAAAAGGTGACAATCGTGACAACGGTGACAACGGTAACACTGGTGAACACGGTATCAACAGTTACAATGGTGACAACAGTGAGAACGGTGACAACGGTGACAAAACTGACAACAGTGACAACAGCGAGTAAAGTGACAACAGTGACAACGATGACAATGGTGACAACAGTGACAACGGTGACAACGGTGACAACGGTGACAACAGTGACAATGGTGAGAACGGTGACAACAGTGACAACGGTGAGAACGGTGACAACAGTGACAATGGTGACAGTGGTGACAACAGTAACAACAGTGAGAAGGATGACAATAGTGACAACAGTGACAACGGTGACAACGGTGACAACAGTGACAACAATGAAAAAGAGTGAGAACGGTGACAAGACTGACAACAGTGACAACAATTAAAACGGTGACAACAGTTACAAAGGTGACAACGGTGACAACAGTGACAAAGGTGACAACAGTTACAACGGTGACACAGTGACAACGGTGACAACAGTGACAACAGTGACAACAGTGAAAACGGTGACAACGGTTACATCGGTGACAACAGTAACAACAGTGACAAGAACGACAACAGTGACAACTGTGACAACGGTGACAACAATGAGAATGATGACAACGGTGACAACAGTGACAACAGCGACAACAGCGAGTAAAGTGACTACAGTGTCAAGGATGACAACGGTTACAACATTGACAACAGTGACAACAGTGACAACTGTGACAACACTGACAACGGTGACAACGGTGACAACCGTGACTACACAGACAACGGTGACAATAGTGACAACGGTGACAACCGTGAGCATCGTGATCTCGGTAAAAACGGTGACAATCGTGACAACGGTGACAACGGTAACACTGGTGAACACGGTATCAACAGTGACAATGGTGACAACAGTGAGAACGGTGACAACGGTGACAAAACTAACAACAGTGACAACAGCAAGTAAAGTGACAACAGTGACAACGATGACAATGGTGACAACAGTGACAACGGTGACAATGGTGACAACGGTGTCAACAGTGACGACAGTGACAACGGTGACAACAGTGACAACAGTGACAATGGTGACAGTGGTGACAACAGTAGCAACAGTGAGAAGGGTGACAACAGTGACAACAGTGACAACGGTGACAACGGTGACAACAGTGACAACAATGAAAAAGAGTGAGAACGGTGACAAGACTGACAACAGTGACAACAATTAAAACGGTGACAACAGTTACAAAGGTGACAACGGTGACAACAGTGACAAAGGTGACAACAGTTACAACGGTGACACAGTGACAACGGTGACAACAGTGACAACAGTGACAACAGTGAAAACGGTGACAACGGTTACATCGGTGACAACAGTAACAACAGTGACAAGAACGACAACAGTGACAACTGTGACAACGGTGACAACAATGAGAATGATGACAACGGTGACAACAGTGACAACAGCGACAACAGCGAGTAAAGTGACTACAGTGTCAAGGATGACAACGGTTACAACATTGACAACAGTGACAACAGTGACAACTGTGACAACACTGACAACGGTGACAACGGTGACAACCGTGACTACACAGACAACGGTGACAATAGTGACAACGGTGACAACCGTGAGCATCGTGATCTCGGTAAAAACGGTGACAATCGTGACAACGGTGACAACGGTAACACTGGTGAACACGGTATCAACAGTGACAATGGTGACAACAGTGAGAACGGTGACAACGGTGACAAAACTAACAACAGTGACAACAGCAAGTAAAGTGACAACAGTGACAACGATGACAATGGTGACAACAGTGACAACGGTGACAATGGTGACAACGGTGTCAACAGTGACGACAGTGACAACGGTGACAACAGTGACAACAGTGACAATGGTGACAGTGGTGACAACAGTAGCAACAGTGAGAAGGGTGACAACAGTGACAACAGTGACAACGGTGACAACGGTGACAACAGTGACAACAATGAAAAAGAGTGAGAACGGTGACAAGACTGACAACAGTGACAACAATTAAAACGGTGACAACAGTTACAAAGGTGACAACGGTGACAACAGTGACAAAGGTGACAAC